CAACCCTCCTCCTTTACCCGGGCTTGGGACCGGCAGTAACTCTAGAAGAGCTATAGGCGGAGTTACTGTTGAAATCAGATCAGAATTCTGACAAGTTATATCAATAGTTTCAAGAGGTGGTATTTTGATAAACAGGGATATTACGTTAAAAGATACCATGGACTAAACAGAAACACCCATACAACTTAGTTTGTCAGCAAATTAGAATAAATCTCTAAACATAAATGTTACTAATCTCTGACGGACCGGTTCCCTCTTATCTGTTAGCCAGTGAGAAACTTTGTGACATGGTGAATTGTTCATTGACTGAATAGGTTTAAAGAGGACAACATGTTTGTGTACTTTTGGTGGATGTGAGCATCGAGGTCTTTGAACATCCTGAGTAGAATTAAAATGATTTTCTAAGTAAGAAGTTCTTCACACATACTTGTGATTCATTATTCTGTTGAATCAGATAAATGCTTGTTAAATGTATGTACCTCCAATCTCTAATGATTGTTTAGGATTGATATTATCTGAGAGATGTAATCATCCGTGTTTATTAGTTTCAGTAGCTTTATTATTTTATTTATATGAATCTTATCTATAATGTGGAGAGAATTAATGAACACTCCTTTTACTCACTTAACATATTAGTTAGACGTATGTTCCCCTAAATCCGTAACAGAATTTTACTTAAGCCTGTTAACCCTCATGGGGGAGGATAGTCTGCTATTCAGCATTCCCCAACCCACTCTGTCCTGGGATTTTCTTTCTACTTCTATCCGATTGCTGCTCATTCTTCTCATATCTGTCTCCATTTATGTTCTTTGGTCTTCCTCTTTTCCCTTGGCCTTGAGGATTCCATGTGAGGGCTTGCCTTGTGACGCAGTCAAGTGCTTTCCTCAATGTGTGTCCTATCCACTTCCAGCGCTTTTTCCTGATTTCTTTCTCCGCTGGGATCTGGTTTGTTCTCTATCACAATTGGTTGTTGCTGATAGTGTTTGGCCAACGGATCCGAGGTATTTTGAGTATACAGCTGTTGATAAACACTTGTATCTTCTGGATGATGGCTTTTGTAGTTCTCCAGGTTTCCACCCCATATAGTAGAACTGTTTTGACATTTGTATTGAAAATTCTGACTTTGATGTTGGTTGACAGTTGTTTTGAGTTCCAGACGTTCTTCAATTAAAGATATACTTCTCTTTCTTTTCCGACCCACAGCTCCACATCTGCATCAGAATCACCGTGTTCATCAATGATGTTGACCAAGTATGTAAAGGTTTTTACATCTTCCAAAACTTCTCCGTAAAGTGTGATTCGATTGGCGCATGCTATGTTGTATCGGAGAATCTTGCTTTTCTTTTTGTGCATTGTTATGACTTTAAGTTGTGGTCGATTTTTACCCTGTGCTAATTGTTGTGTCCTTGACTGGAAAATTAGAGAGCAGCGTACTTATCGATCGATTCAATGACACGTAAACATGTACGGACGGCCTAGAGTCTCGATTGGTCTCGCTTCCCTGTCTAGCCCAGTCAGTTGAGTCCAGAACACAAGTCACAGCCTCGGAGATATGAATCACTATATTTCAAACATACTTTGTTTATATACCAAACAAGCATACCACATCGTACCATAAAATAGAAAACAACATTTTGTACAATATTCAACAAGTGAACAGATATCGACCAATAGGGAATGTCCATTTAAAGTCCAAGGACACCATTGGACTTAACATGATAATTATTGGTCTATTCCTGCGCATCCACAACACCATCAATTATGGCAGTGACAACGATAAAGGTCATTCCTACGAAAGACTGCAATCGATCATACTCAAATGCGCAGGAAAAGACCTTGCTGTTTTGATGGGAAGAATGGAGATATCATGGGACGACATATACTGACTGGGAGAAAGGAACAAGAATGACGATAGATTTGCATTCAACATATATTAAGCAAGTGGCCTACCCAGTTAAAATGGGTGAGGGTATCTCGGGTGAAGTCGTCGTAGCCTTCGCTGGTGTGAGATGAGTTTGAAGTGTGGGATTGAATGTTCTTCAATAGCTCGGTATTTTGATAGCTAGATTTAGTGGGAGATGTACCAAATGAGCTAGTGAAGTTGATTGGGAGTTTACCCAGGAGGAAAGAGCGGGAGTATTCTCTGATGGAAACCATACGAAGGAAACAAGTTTATGTTTTGTATGTGGTTTGAAATAACTTGGGCTATATGCCTCAACAGAGGTGTCACTAGGGGTCGTATTTCAAAAAATCTTTTACAGGCCTGCTGTGAAATGTGCGTGTATTTACAAAACAGTCTTGGTGGTTAGACTAGTAGTCTCTGTTATAGCTATTTACGTTAGCGTGAGAGGGGTCTGCTGCGCGTAACTAGAAGGAGTTGCGACCGTTATTATACACGAGAGCCGTTTTTATGTGATGGGTTGGTTTTAAAGGGTGTGAAAACTTTTCTTAATTAATATATGGTCATGAGCGGCACAAAATTCACTTTCGAACATGTACAAAAAGCTACATGAATCTCAACGGATCACAATACAGAGAATCAGGTCGAAGTCACACATCGTGGTCAGCACCTTACGTGGACTACCCCATTGACATATCAAGGTACTATAGAGGCCTTGAAGACTTTACAACACGGAGGATGTTATCACGGAAATATATTAGTTAAAGTAGATAAAAGCGAAAGTAAGACCAGCGCTGCATTGAACAGTCCATAGTGTACGACTAACTGATGCGCGTTGGTTGTCGTTGACCTTGGCGAGGACCGATGATTTGTTCGATATTCAGTGACTCAACTGCCGGATGATTTGGCCAGGGCTCAGTGGAATTTCACTGTCCCTACAGGTCAATGGAAGATGTGCGAGCCAGAGCTGGTGTAGCTTCAAATCACAATTATTTATTTCATCCTTATATAGAGAAATTCACAAGCTCAACGGATTCAAGATAACTCTCAACAACAGATTTAATGCCCTACAATCTACTCAAAGAAGAAAAACTACTATAAAAGACGACTGGAAAGGTATCAAAGAAGCACTAACTTCAACGTGTCAGGAGGTTCTAGGTCGCCAGAAGCACCATCATAACGAATGGATCTCTGTGGAAACCCTGGACAAGTTTCAAGAAGGCAAGAACAAGAAAACAATAATCAACAACAGCAGAATACGAGCAGAGAAAGACAAGGCACAAGCTGAATACACAGAAGCAAACAAGCAAGTAAAGAGGGATATTAGAACCGACAAGCAGAAATACGTGAATGACCTAGCAGCGATAGTGAATAAAGCTGCAAGAGAAGGAAATATGAAACAACTACATGACACAACAAGGATACTGGTAGACGGATATCATAAACTAAAGAGACCGGTCAAGGACAAAGAAGGCAATTACTGAAATCCAAGTACGGAGGAACGGATGGATAGAATGCTTCTAGGAACTTCTGAATAGACAAGCTTCATCGAATCCATCGGTCTTCGAAGCAGCATACATAGATCTTCCTATGGCTGTCGCTCCACCAACGATCGAAGAAATCAGGATGTCCATCAGCCAAATCGAGTGTGGGAAGGCAGTAGGACCTGACAATATATCAGCTGGAGCTCTGAAGTCAGACATAGAAGCAACTACAAATACGCTCCACATCCTATTCAGGGAGATTTGAGAGGAAGATAAAGTGCCGATGGACTGGAAAGAATGATATCTCATCAAGATATTAAAAAAAGGAGATCTGAGCAAACGTGTGAACTACAGAGGTATCACTCTACAATCGGTACAGGGAAACGTTTTCAACAGTGCTACTGAAGCAGATAAAAGACTAAGTAGGTGGCTAACTTCAAGATTAACAGGCTGGATTACGCAAGGATCGGTTGTGCACAGAAAAAAATTGCGACACTACAGATCATCGCCGAACACTCAGTTGAATGGAACACGTCACTATACATCAACTTCATTGACTATGAGAAGGCATTTGACGACGAAGACAGAAAAGGCCTATGAAACCTTCTTCGACGCTATGGAGCTCCTCAGAAGATTGTCAACACTATCCTGAACTCATAAGACGGGCTACAGTGCAAGATTGGGCGTGGAGGACAAGTGACAGACCCATTCCAAGTAAAGACCCGCGTCAGACAAGACTGTCTACTCTCCTCCTTACTCTTTCTTCTGGTAGTCGACAACATTATGAAGACCACGACATCCGAGGGGGAAGCACGGAATACAATAGGCAGCTTGTAATTAACTAGACGATGTGGACCTCGCAGATAACCTAACCTTCCTATCGCATACAAATGAACAAATGCAGATAAAGACAGCCAGTGTAGCAGCAGTCTCTGCATCAGTAGGCCTCAGGATACACAAGGGGAAAACCAAGATCCTCAAATACAACATGGAGAATACCAACCAACCCAATCACACTTGATTAAGAAGCTGTGAAATATGTGGATTCTTTCGTGTATCTGGAGAGCATCATCGATGAACTAGAATGACCTGATTCAGATACGAAGGTAAGCATTGGCGAAGCAAGGAAAGCACTCCTACAGTTGATGAACATCCTGAACTCAAACCAACTGTCAACCAATATCAAAGCCAGAATCTTCAATACGAACTTCAAGACAGGTACTCGTGCAGTTCCAGAACTCCGGGGTTTGCTGTACAAAGAGCGGCTTGAAAAGCTGGCCCTCTTTACTCCGTCCTATCGCAGACTAAGGGTAGATCTAGTTTTGATGTGTAGAACAATAAGGCATGATTTTGGAGCCAACATGTTCTCCTTTTCTCTTTCCACTTGATCGGGACATCTGAGAGGACATAGCAGGTGAGTAGAAAAGCCAAGAACGAACAAAATACCAGTGGCATACAGGTTTTCACACTGAGTCATCAATACTTAGAACCTGTTACCCAAAGCAGTGATGTCCGCACCTTCAAATAACTCATTGAAAAGTAGACTGGACACTCACAGAAGCGTACTAGAAAAGGAATAACATAGGCCGTAGGCCTTTTGTTCTTACTACACAAGTCTGAAATCTGAATCTGAAACTGACCTATCCTTGCACACCCGGAATGTCCGAGTATCACGCTACAGCATGGGAAAGACTAGGCAAACTCGAAAGTTTGCAGCAATGAAGCGAATGATATCACTGACGGATTCACGAATGTAACACACAAATTTGGTTCAAAACATCGGTTTTAGAAAGAAAAAAGACCGGGTCAAAAAAGTCACACCCTTCAAGCAAGATACTTCACATCACATGTCGGTAAAACACAATCCAGAGGTGTTTCCGTGTCTTAAGGATTCCTATAATGAGGCCCTAGGACCGCCTTACCACATACTTTTGGATACCAATTATGTCAATTTTTCCATCAAGAACCGACTAGATCTTTTCAAGTCAACAATGGACTGTTTACTAGCAAAGTGTAAGCGTTTGTACACTCATTTCTACTGATCAGGCTTTCTGTATGTTACAGATTGTGTCATGGGAGAAATAGAGAAGATGTCGGAGAGATATCGGGTGGCTTTAAAGTAATTGTTTGGCTTGTATCTCAACTTGATTTAGAATTCTTCGTGATGAGAGGATTCAAAGGTTGACTTGCCAACATAGGGGGACTTATGCTGATGATTGTTTAGTTGAGCGCTGCAAATCCCGGTGTTACATCGTTGCTACTTGTGACCGTGACCTGAGACGCCGTATCAGGAAAATAACTGGAGTACCTATAATGTATATACATGGACATCGCGTTGTAATTGAAAAATGCCCATGGCACTGGGAGCTCCAAAGCTGTAAATATTTCTTGTTAAAGCGTGATATTTAAATAAAGTACTCTATGCAAATATTCCTTTATGAAGACTTGACTTGTAGTATACAAATACCTAAATACTAACTCATTTCTGTGATTCCTTCGTTTCGAAATAAAAGCCGGACCACAAAATATTTAATAATAGAGATCTCACACATATCAATGTGGCTTTTGTGATGTCAAATAATTGTTCATGATCTACATATGGGTAGTGTCACGTTTCAAGTTTCAAAATCTGTTCTGTTACTTTACTTTCTTTGTTGTAGCATGTAATATTTAGTTTTAGTTCGATATTACGTGGGTTACGTCTTCTGGTAACAATAATAAATTATTGCTCATTTGCACAGAAGTTTCTTCACTCTAACAAAAGTAAGCTAAGCCCTTATTTGTATTGATGATGACTAAAACTCATTGCTTTACTTGTAATTCTCTTCATCAAAATATTCTGCTAACTTACTATAGTCTAGTTTTCGTCCACCCAAGAGTTTGGGACATATGTTTCTGCAGTAAAATTGTGTTTCCTGCTTCACAAACAAGCTTCCTTATTATTTCAGTACACAAAAGTTAGTTATTTCCCTAATAGCCGTGGTTGTAATTAATTAGAGAATCCAGCTATTCTCCGCAGTTAATAGATTCAATCCCTATTGTTTAGCGACATCCGTCAAATGAAACCAACTCTGTCAAGGTTGGTGTGTAAAGAATTCTAGTTACAAAACACGTTTTCAAAACTTGATTAAAATCACCATAATCTCTCATACAGATCAAGATTGTATTTGTCTATGACAGCCTGTTTGTTATGCCGAATGGTTAAGGTTTTTAGCAGTTTATTCACCGGTTTGTAGCTGCCACAGGGCGGTTGTGGTCCGTCCCCATAGCCCGTTACTGTAAATTTTTACGAGTAGCGATCACAGACTTATCTATCTTGTTTTCAAGTTTTTGGTTTCATTGCCAGCTTCTATGTTCTGATGTACCGTAGTACGAATAGTAATTTGGTTTCTGCATGCATTAAACTAGATTTCTGTTGTTCGGATGGCGTAATTCGATAAAATCAGCTTCACCAAGACACCTAGGAACATATATGACTTTATTTTTAATGAACCCTTAATCCTACCAAGTCAGTGATAAATATGATAGTGTGAGTGGTCAATTTTTTCCCCAGTGCTTTGGGATATTTAGCTGCCATAACTTTTACCAATAGAAACCTGTTGTAATTATCTAGTCAGCTGGAATCTTTTAATTCTAAAATATACTGCACAAAAACACGGTTCTCATTAATAAGGTCGATTGCTTCAAATAGGTTATGAACATCATATCAGAATTATGTTCAATGGTAAATAAGACATCTAAATCTCACTACTGTAGGAACTCATACTGATTATTAATCAGGTCAACTAGTTTTACTATTCAAAATAGGTATTTGAGATAACATGACTGAGGTAATGAGGAAAACGATTTATTACCGAATTCGAAGTCACAGTAATTGTTGAAGGTATGCTCTTCATTGAACGTTTTAAGAAATACGTTTTTGTCTAGTAGAAGCGAGGGAATAGATGGTAAACCGACCAAATTTCAAACTCTTGAAAATATTGTTCGCCTTTCAATGCTCGTCATTATTAATACACGCCTTTTTGGTGATTTCCCGTATCAATGTTCGCCATGTTGATGTGCACCATTTTCAGTCGTCCCGTTTTTCATTCGCCTTTTAGCTCACAAAGTTAAGAATATTTCCGTAATATATATGGGGATTAGAAATCAGAACCCTTAATTGAATTATACCTAATCTCTCCATGATCCCATTTTGCTTCACTCATTGCCTCCTTTTGGTGAGGGTGTTTACGAAATTTAGAGGACGAAAAGCTAATGCCCGACGCTTTAATCGGGTTGGTGGATATGGAGTATCCACCTAGGGGAGTTGGGAAATCTGACTCTAAACCTATGGTGTACATGGGCTCCAGTATCCTGAGGAAACAAATGGTGTATAAACCTAATGTTGGTCACCGGCTACCACGGGACTGCATCTCCTTACAATGCTCCACTGCCTTGTAGATTAGACTGTCAGGTCAAAGGCTCGGAGAGTGGCCACCTAAGGAAACCACCTGCTTCAGTCTGGGCACTCGGGCAGTATCACAGCCTTCACACAAATCAATGATAACTACTACTATTGTGTGGTGCATATGTATTCGGTGCCTCCTTGTACCAATGTTTATGTTTAGACAAATAATACTCACAAACTTTACTCGAGACAATCAGTCCCAGTTTCTTCGGTTTTGTGAGTAAGGGGATCCCTGTTTTTGCGTCTTCACTATCCTCAGAGTCATTCCTTTTATGAAATAATGGAGTTTGTGTACATTGAGGTTTTCCGTGTTTACATATATTTGTTTGTTTTATGTTTGTTAGAGCACAGTGTTTGTTTTATTAATGTCTTAAAAGCTGCTCACTGTATGTTTGTATTCGATTTATTTTGGAACTGCACCAAAAAATTGTTCACTTGTGAAATATCAAGGCAATATTCAGTTGTTTCAATCTGAATTGAATTAAGTTTTACGATAATAAATTGGCAACCGACTTCGGTACTTCTTCATTATGGTGGTTCAGTATCTTTGACCCAAACGTCGTTCTTCTAAAATGTAGATTATTTTAGTGCTATATTTTAACAGATTTTTTTTCATACCATAGATGGACGTTTTACGGTTAGTAGAAAATTTCCTCCATCGGGCGAAAGAGTTTATATTGTTACAAATTTGTTGCATCACATTACATAGTTTTCTAGTTAAGTAACATAAAAAGATTTACGAAATATAGAAAATCTTCTGCCTTTCTACCGAACAGGGCTGTTCTAAAAGTCAAACCAGTAGTCAAACTCTATAGATTAGAATCAAAACTTCCGAATCGAAAATAATGAAACGGAAGTAATGGAAATGTTTATGTAAAAAATATGTAAAATCAAAATATGGTAGAATCGAGGATATCATTATAAGATGATACGTTTTAAAACGTTTCTGTATACAAGCTTGCGCCACACAATAGCAACGGGAATGTGAAGAGATAGAGAATGTAAAGTGCATATATGAAAACGGAGAACAATAACGAACAGAAATTAGCGTATGATAGTGAAATAATAATAATAATAATAATAATAATAGGAGATGCAGTTGAGTTATTAATATTACAACCAGGAAGAATTCTTCGAGTTTAAGAAGTTACGTCCATTTTTATAAAGAAAGTGGAAGATAATTACAGTAGGATCGCCACTGGCTTCTATTCTGAGCCATATCTGATAACGTCTCAAGCCACTGTGTTGCACCATCTCTAGGACCCCAGCCAGGGAGTCGTGAAGGAATAACAGAAGCCAGCCATGTACAGCCTTCGTACCACGACACCATGTCATACTTTAACCACCTCTCCACTTCTAACCGGTCCAAGTGTCGAAAATAATGCTCGATATGCAATCCTCTGGGACGACAATCGTAGAATATGTCTAAGCCACCGAAGTCGATGTTTTAAGATAGTGACACTGAATGAATTATCGTCGCTGTGCCTGAACATACGATGCCAAGTCTCTGCATTACTAACATCGTGTTGCCACTAGATTTCAGCAATCCTTCAGATACAATGATGATCAACTCGGATAGACCAGGCTCACACCGACGCGTTGTAGATCCGACTAACATCACAGAGGCGCCAAAGATGGCCAAGATCGGCATGAGCCGCTTTGGCTTTCACTATACATTAATTGATCTAATCATTCATGCCACCACCAGCAATTACGCAGTTACCCGGATACACGAACTTGTCGACAACTATCTGCTCACTACCTAGAGTGAGTGAAGCATCAGGGTCCTACCAGTCGTGTAAAAGTACTTCGCACTTCAAAGGTGCAAATCACATGTCATACCCATGGGCACTGATTAAGTGATGATTGCATGGCATGGGTATCCTCGTACATTAAGACAATATCATCTGTATACTTCATGTCAAGTAGTCTCTCCAGACGACAGATCCACACCACCGTTACTCACATCCATCAGAGCTGTTTCCAGAATGTCATTGATGGCAAAGTTGAAGAGGAATGGTGAGATTGGACGACCCTGTCTAACTCCACTGCTCGAAAGGAACAATGGAGAGAGTTGGTTGTATTCCCTCACTACGCTTGAGGTGTTTGCATATCTCTAGATTCATCACCTGTAATAAACGATTACATTCTACCTTCATATACATTTGTCTAAAATACCTACATAACATTTGAAGACAATATATATTATATTCGTCTTCTCATAGAACATGCAATAACTAATCTCAGTGACGATGAAACTAAAGGTTACTGAACAGTTGTCAAGTCTTATTTTGTCCATCATGTTATCTTACCCTTAAAATATAGAATTCTCAATGAATAATGGTGTAAATAGTGCAATATTCCTAACATACCCGAATAAATAGGAAATGTGGATTGTTGCAACATGTCCCGTTTGAAACAATTAGTTCTTCTGTACTACAAGAAATTAAACTCTATCGATGTGGATAGTGTTTACTGTTTGTTGAAAAATGTACTACCTACAAAGTTGTGAGTAATATGTGAATTTGCAAAACATTATTTGCCTGACGATCGTGCATAGTTGATCACCATTTAGACCAAAGAACTCGTGTTACTTGTTGACAGTCACTAGGTTTTGTTGGTCCGAGATAGGAGGTTTTATAATCGTATTCACTTGATAGTATTTCCCGGAGTTTATATATTATTGTCACTTGCTTATCCTTGAGATAGTACTAACTGTAAAACAATTGTTTCATCACAATTGATTTGTTACTATTTGACAATTCTATTTTGTAAACCTGTGAAGATGTTTTGGCATGTGATTTAATATTTGTTCAAAGTTATGGGTTTTGTGTTAGGTTTTAAATGATGATAAGACTGAGATCAAGAATGATCGATTTAGTCAGTCTACAAAGTATGGATTGTTATTGATAAGAATCTCACATCGATAGGCCAAGTAGATTACCTAGTCTCCGTGTTAATACTAGTCTTAGACACTTATTTTGTTTCCAGGAAAATATAATAAAGTCTCAAAAATATAATCTCAATTCTCGTTCATGACTAAATTTCTGATTTTATCAAGAACAAAAATTTATGAGAGTGAGTTTTTGTGGAGATTTTAATAATTTAATAGTTGAACTCATGAGTCGATTTAAGCTAGACTACCATGGAAAACCATGAAACACTAGACGGCCGTTTCATCCTAGTGCAGGACTCCAGCATTGCGCACTCACGATCCTGCATCCGAGAACCTGACCCAGCACCTGCAGTTCCGCTTGCGAACACAACCTCTAGACTACTGAATCAACATTCAGCGGTGTTGATATCTCACTCCAACCAATACACGATATTGCTCGACCTTCCATCACTGTCTTCAGTGAGTAACTGAAAACACTGTTGGAATCCACTGGTCACGGCTTCGCACTAAAACTCCAGGAAACACACATTGAAGCCAAAACGACTCGTCCTTCATGTGAAGCCAGATTCATGGATCGGTCGATGAGTATTTTATCCATAAGAATTCGAGAGAATTACTCAACTTGGATGAAAAGAAGTGGAAGTGGATCAATAAAAATTTATTAATGGAACACCTTGTGAACATGGGTAATTCTGTAGCAAGGTGTCGAGTCGAAGTTGACTATGAGCACCACTGCAGGGAAACGCGTACCAAATAAATCAGAAAGCGAAGATTGAATGTAACCAGATATATTCATTGGCGATCTCGTGTTATCGAAAGGATACCGAGATCGTGCCAAAAGGGTACAAGTGGAATCAGCGGGCAAGAGTACGAACGTACGAGGTCACAAACCGCGGAAATGTAATGGGGTAAGAATATGGCTGTCTTTAGCACAGTTAAACAAACGAGCACAGTAAAACAATCACTGGCACAATTGGTTATAATAATGATTGTTTCCATTAAGTCAATCGCGTTCTCTTGATAAAAGTAGGTCACTACAGGAGCCCCCCGCTAGAAAGGGTTTACACTTTCGATAAGTAGCGGTTTGATTCGTGGGACTAATCGGCAAACGTGCGATTGTAGAACGAAAGAATTGGCGGAACAGAAAGCGACTTTTGATACTCGAGTTGCCACCGAAGGTCTTTTACGGAGAACGGTACCAAGAGAAGTGTGCTGTATTTGTTGCTCGAGTTGGCATACCACACCAGAGTGGTTTGTATCCAGGATCTGAAGATTGCGTTCGTAGGGGTCCGGACCAGAAAACACTGCAGACGTAGGACGAAACCACGTTGAGCCAAGAAACCGGAAGCGACACTGACAACCAGGTTCGAAACCATAGTATGCCAAACATTCCAAACCAAAATATCGACTGAGTGCGTTGACAAGAGCGTGGGTGATCAGGCCGGCTTTCGCCAAGGTTGACTGAAGTCGACGATACCAAACGGGTGATGGTCGGCGGCGTAGGCTCAGGATGCAAAAAAAATAAAAAAAGAGAAGTGCAGCGTGCATATAGTACAGGAATAGTCCTACACCGTATCCGTTATTGACTGTGCAGTTAACCGCGAAAGCGTACGGGTAAGCGTACTCGGCGAACAGAACGTGAGACGGTAGTCTCGTTCGTATTTCGTGAGCCTGCAATCGCATTCGAAGTCAAGGGCAGCATGGTCTGCTGATCTGGACGTGAGACTGAAGTGTCATCCATAGATGGTGCAGAAGACACGTGCTGTTGACCGGGACGTGAGAATGAGGTCTCTGATGTATCTAGCGTGGGACCTGAAGTAGATGTATGGATCCCGCTAGTAGATTTGATACGTCTAGTATTGGGTCTCAAGTTATCTGGTAGAGCATTTTCATCGACGTGTGCTGGTTTGAGACGATCAATGCTGACGATCTCGACGCGGCCGTGTCGATCAACCTTGAAGGTCTTTTTGTGACGAGAAATCACGTGAAAAGGTCCTTCGTAAGGCTGTTGCAGAGGTTCGCGTACCGAATCTACTCGTATGAAAACATGTGGACAGGTAGATAACTCTCGAGGGAGAGCGACCTGTCGATGTTGTATACGAGTTGACACCGGAGACAGCGTTCGCATAAATGCAGACAGTCGATGGAAGTAGTCTGACTTACAGAAATCGTCACTGCTCCGTGGTGTGAAGAATTCCCCAGGCAGACGCAATGTCGTGCCGTATACAAGTTCAGCGGCGGAACATTGGATATCTGCCTTCAAGCTCGTTCTGATACCTAAGAAGACGAGTGGTAAGGTTTCGTACCAATTGTCATTTTCGTGTGCTCGAAGAGCACTTTTAAGTTGGCGATGAAACCATTCAACTAAACCATTTGATGCTGGGTGGTAGGCGGTAGTGCGTATGCGTTCCGTACCAAGCAGCCGGGTCAGTGAGAATAGTTATTTGGGGAAATTTCTCAAATAAATTGTGGAATATATCGTCACGCAAATGAAAGACACCTAAGATTTGGTACGCGTACATCGGAGTCTTATATTAATACTATTCTTATCGTTATCCGTCATGTCGAGTATATTATATATTGAAAAATATTAATATGAAAATATACGACAGACGTGGATAGATAAGTAATAGACTCACCGCAATTGGCTTCTTTGGAAGATCTGACCAGAGGTTGAGAAATGTTCGTACTTTTGGGTTCACCAACTGTAGCGTGGAGTCGAGTTGCGATTGACTATGAACGCCACTACAAGAAGACTACGTGCCAGTTAGCCGATAAAATCCCCCGTAAGCCAAATATCAGGGGGCAGTTGATGGCTGTAGTCGAGATTTATTTGTTGGCGATCTCGTGGTATCGAAAGGATACCGAGATCGTGCCAAAGGAGTACAAGCGTGGTTACCGGGCGTAACCGAACCCGAGCAAGGTCACAATCGAAAGATAATGGAGCAGTCGCAGGGCTGTCTTTAGCACAGTTAAACAAACGAGCACAGTAAAACGATTACTGGTACAATTGGTTATAATAATGATTGTTTCCATTAAATCAATCGCGTTCTCTTGATAAAAGTAGGTCACTACAATTCAATCAAAGTAGATTTTGCTTTCAAAGTCGTCTACAAATCAAGTAGAAAGCTGTCAATGGCAATTATATTTCGCATTCTTAGTATTGCCGATGCACTAGCTATACACCTTGAAGAATCGGAATCACTTGCCTGAAACAATCTGATACAAACCCTTCCCCTATTATGGTCTTAATCTCTCGCAATGCTTTTTTTCTTTTATAATCTCTCACTACCATCTGCTTCCCTTCTATCTTCTCCATAGACCTTCCACCCCCAGCTGATTTGTTTCTGTTTCTATGATCCTCCAGATTACAGTTACTCACAATTTCGACATCTTATCTTATCCCACTGAGCCTTTCCTTCCGAATTATAATCTCCTTATCTATCTGCTTGATGAATATTCATGTCCCAGAGTGAACATCAACTCTGAGATGCAGGTATATCCAGCTGATGAGTCGCAAGTAGGACGAAACGCGCGTCCTGGATTCCATTGCTAGCCACTATCCATCTTTGCTTATAATATTATTAGTTTCCTTGTTAAAACTAACGTTTTAATGCCTTCGTTTATGCATCCTTACTGTTACCATGTTTAGCAGAATCCAATTATCGTTATTACTGTAATTATTATCATTTTGAAAAAGAAGTGTATATTCTCGATTATAAAGCTCTGAAAATGAATTCTCCGAAGAGTAAACTTGGTTTTTATATAAACCAGGTATGTTTCAAATATATGATTCATACAGTGGAAGCTGTTCTGGTGTTCTGAACTCAACAGGCAGGGCTAAACGGGAAAGGGATCAATAAGGACGCTAGGTTACTCGTACCGGTCAATACATCACTGTTGTGGCACAGTGTTAAGATTGTTTTAGTCGTATTATGATTGGCTACCTTATCAAGTGATATATTAACCGATCATAAGTCATTACAGAAAGTACTATTAATAGAACACACAAGTTATGACATACTTTATTTCTCAAACTTGTGAAACAAAACAAAAGAAATAAAATAAATGTTAACTGTGAACAACATACATTTGAAATGCATGTATCAACTTGTAACAGCAAACTTTAAAAAGCCACATAAAGCTGATTGGTAATTACTTGTTTACATGACTGAGATATCGGTCATAAGTTCAGCGTAATTTTTCACTCCGAGAATTCCATATTGTACTAATCACATAATGTTGAATAAAGCAATTATTATTATTATTCTGAATTATTATTGTGAATTAACATTAAAGCTTTGATAACGTTATATTCTGTACAAGAAGAAAGAAATTATAACATGAAAAAATATTGAAATGTGTATGTTGTTAATCTTACTCATTAGATGTTTATTTGTTTTCAGTTAACCAAAAAGTAACTAATGTGACTGAATTATTTCATTTGAAAATGAATTCACGAGGTAATGCTATTAGTTAGAGGGAATATACAATATATAATGTTTAAAATATTGAAGCGTATAAATCATTTCTATTATTCTGTGAGCATTAAAATTAATACAGTTAATGTGTAAAATTGTTAGTGGCAACAAATGATAAACATTTCAGTCAGAGAATAGTTTGTCCGATTACAAAAAAATAATAGTCTAAGTTGGTTGATTCCATTACTAGATATTTAATACTGTTTCAGTGTCCAGTAAAATTTCAAGTAAAAATATATGAGTGAATCACTTTCATCACACAATGGTCTGTGTTAAAGAGGTTTCATTTCATTCTAAATTTTAGAACCTAATTATAATCAAATTATATTGCAGAATAATTTACTGTTTGACCTCCATTCATTCAGATTACTCAGTATAAATTTGTCCCTGACTCTTCAATACAATTTTTGTAATCTCCATTTTAGAGTGAACTATTATTATTCATTTGAGTTCCGAAAAACTGATATATTCATTTACCACCAGTTAAGCATCAACAAATAAAGAGGTTTCAGTGTCAAATAATATCAATACTGTACCTCCCGTACTAATACATCGATTTCGGCATTTTTAATAAATTCACTGTCTCTGACTAGTTGAATTAATTCTTGGATTCGTTAGTAAATATTAATGATCCCACCAAAAATTAATCACTCAACACTTATGATCAAAATGCTGACATAATTAGAATGAACTTCATGCAAATTTTAGAAAATAATTATAATGGAAGTTGACAGAAACTACGTTTCACGGCGTTATTAGTTCTCTATTATGCTGTAGTGAAGACAGGTCAACAGGTTAGCAGGTCATATAATAGATTTCGATCCTCTTGATAAATTCTTCCATTTAGACACTAGTATCTATAATTGAAAACCGCTGAATGAGGTGAGTGATTTCAAATATACAGAACACATTCAGTAGGGTTTATCGTCTATGCATCAGTGTTTGTCGCTTCATTAAATTCCTCAAAATGATGTATATCCAGATACTTGATGTGTCCTAATATCCGCTCGTTAATTAGCATTGATGTTTCATTACACTTGATGATTAGAATTATCATTAAAATCAATCATGAAAGAAAGTCATCGTTGAGAAAACTTTCAAAATTATGAATGCGTTTAGTCATTGTGTTGCAAATCAAGTTTACATAAATGAATTCGGGTTTTTTTGAACGTCAATCGAGAGAAATAAGTTGATTTTAATTGTAAAAATATTTAATAGAAGTAACGCAATCCGTTAGGGTGAGGATGAAAGAAAAGATGACAATAAGTAATAGTCTGTTATTCACCGTGATCTGTCTCTGTTGTCATATGTGTATTGTAAACGAAAGGCTTTGATGTACCGTTAAGTCACAGATCTTAGTATGTTTGTTTCCTGACTGGAAGTCATGAATATCAGCAACGGGAAATTAGAAAGTCTCATCAATACCTTTACACATGTTGAATAAATCGAAGCATGTCTAGATTCAGTGGCTCATTGGATAATGAGTTTGAGTTTGAATTGAAAGGTTCAGGATTTTAGTGCTAGTCTATATGAATGGTAGATCCAGGTGACAAGTCCCAAATAATATGAAGTGTATGTTATAGATTCAGCTGCTAGCCACATACCAAATGCAGTAAGAAAATCATTCTAAACAAAATTTGATATTGATTCTTTTCTTATTTCGACACCTACATATCTTGTAGTATATAATCGTAATTTTTATGTTCTAAAAAGCTTGAAAAGTTATGAGCACTCTATGATGACGACGGGACGCAAAATGTTTGAGCGTTACTTTCCGGAGATACAAATGATAAGGTTCGAACAGGTAGGTAAATGAATTTTTTCCGCTAAAGTTTATGCTGATAATGGATTATTTTTTAGAAAAAAGAGCAATTGTAAGTTCAATTCGTATCTCCCATTCTGCAATACCAAACCCATATGTTTTGGAAACTAAAAGAGAAAGGACTTCTCATTTGTGTTTTGTTGAATTGTACCTGTCTTGTGAAGCTGACTATATTTTGATTACTTCAAATGCTAGTTGTTACTTCGAATTACACAATCATTTCCATTGATGTTATTGTAGTAAAAATTTGTTCCTTGTAAATGGCCAAGTTGGAATTATTTCTGTGAGAATTTCTCAGAAAAACAATAATCCTTTAGATGCATTTTAGAGCGTGTTTCTTTAAATTTTATTCCAACCAATGAGACAGTCAAATTCCTAATGACCAATTAGGTTATACAAATAGTTGCTATATAAATATACTCATCCATCAGTATGGTTTATTTAATTATATTGAACAGAACCGTGGAAATGAAGATTCTTGCAGTAAGTTAGGTTTATTATGATTTATACGACTGAAACCTTCACGTAATACAATTCATCATATTTTTCTGATATATTTCTGTCCAATTTTCCAACAATGCAAATCAAGTCAGTGATATCATGTTAATTTAATTGTATACGGTAACAATTAGTTATCAATACAAATGGAATGGAATTACGTGAAGTCATGAAACGTGAGGAATTGATACTCCACCCAATATAATGTTACAAATACGTTATTTTTATCATTCGTACAATCAAATTATTTGATCGCTGTCATTTCCTTACTAAATCCGTTTAAATTCCTTCTTAGGTTTTCGGTATTATGTTAACTTATTTCTGTGCAGTAACGTTCGGAGCTGAAAGTCTTCACCAATGTAACAAAGATTTTGAGGCAACGATGGAATTTTGTTTCAAACAGAACATAGCTTATTCACGTGAGTGTTGGTAACAGATTATACAGAATTACAACGTCAATACTTATCATTAATTCACAATGTCTAATGATGAACTTATTGTTTTGTCAACGTATTTTTATGCAAGATTTGTTAATTTGAAAGTGTTAGCTAAACAATATTGTGCATGACAATGAGCATGTGTTTGATTCACTTTCAAGTGACTAGTTTCGAATTGTAATAATTTCAGTATGTCATATTAGAGTTGTCATGTAGTTAGGAGTAAAATACCCCGTCTCATCGCCCTACAGTGAACATAGAGAGTTTCAAAACTGTCATACAACATAGAGTTTACTACTTGATGCATTATTTCTTCTGACTATACTTTGTATAAACAACAATCCATAATCGTCTGTAACTGTACTGATGATCATAAATTTGAGCGTATTAACACATTTGGTCAATGTGAATCTTAAAATTCGCTGCATATACCTGTTACATGCAACTACTTTTCCACAAATATATCCTTGAAGCAATTATAGATATAGTCAATTTTAAAATTAAATTGAATTTCATAATTACGTGCATGTGAATGTCCATCATCATCCACTCCAAGAAAAGTTTACTACTACCATACACCATTAGCTTCCCATTGTGATTATCACTATCATAACAACATAATGTCATGTGTGAATGAACGCTTATTAAAAATTATTCGAAGTCCTATACTACTGAAATGATTTCTCAGTCTTATCATTGCGTATATGAAGACATGTCGGTTGAAATCATTTTTGATCTGTTAATTTAACTGTTCATTACCGAAAATTGTGTTATCTTGATTATTTCATAACTTTGTTAGTTTTCCTAAGCGGAGTTCTATCGAACTAATCGCTGTCATATAAATGATTCTTTATGCAAGTTAACTAATCTCTGTTCCAGAACATTATTTAAATCACATTTACATCATGATTGAAATCCATTCAATGTAACCAGTACTTTGTACATGAAACAACATGATGGAAACGAATAACAGAATTCGTTATGTAAGGATTTGTTATTATTTTGTTATTCTTATTCGGAGGTCATTTTTATTTATCCGTATGGTTTATATCATGTCTTTTGAAACGCCATTGTTTGTCTCTTTTTGTTTAGACAAGTTCACGGACTTAAAGAGTTTGAGAAATGCTTGCATGAGTGATAGATATTGCAAACCTAAAGCAAAGAATTGTCTTTTATCTGCACTTCAAGGTTCGACATTCATTAACTGTCCTTTACAAAGAACCTATATAAAATCAATAGATCGTATGTTCTGATAACATCCGGTCATCTCTTAGTCTATTATTTGAATTTGTAATGTACAGATAAATAAATTCTTTATTTTATCAACTATGATTTTTGGAAAAAACAATTACGGATGATAAATTATAAACAATGGCTTCACCAAATCTTAGTGAAATAAAGCTGGGTTAATTGTTAATCATTTTTAGAAATTTCAGGTTATCTATTTGATACATTCCTTAAAATAAATGTCTAAAAGTCTGGCCACTTAGCGCTTAATGTTCAACCCTAACTTTATTGGACATGTTTAATGAATCTTAATCGGCTCATCTTTCTGTTCAATTAGTGTAATTGATTTAGCTGTTGCATGTAAATCTATGCATACATGTCGAACATGACTATATCAGTGCCCATACTGATTCATGTAAGATGTCTAACGTAACTGCGTAATAGGTCTCAAGTAGTGTGGCACTTCAAGTTCTCTTGACTGTCCACACAACACAGTTTTAAAAAAGATATAAGCGACATCTAACTCGCAAAAGATAAACATGTATCTTGTGATTGAATGACGATACATACAGGTTAGCAAATGAAGTAAATACTGAAAAGGTTAATCAGTCAGCTTATGTGTCTACGGTGAATAATTCCGATTTTAGAGCAAAGACTGTCAAACATAATAATTCAACTTTTGTATCTAGTATGCTTTAGACCTTCACCGAGTACTGGAAATTATTTATTTTACACACAGTACATCCTATTCATATGTAGAAGAGATAGTGAGAATAGTGCCGGTTATGCAGTCCCATTATGTAATCTTATGCTTATTCACTTTCCTTAATTTAATTGAGAAATAATCCTGTGTTTTTGTCTATTGTGTAAAATGAATGGTGCTGTTGGTTGAGTGGTCGAATAAAATTGGATTTTCAACAAAAATCAAGTGTATCAAACAAACTCTAAAAGTCGAACGTCAATGGATGTATCGTTGTATGGTGCTAAACAATGATTATACTCGTAGTTAAAAAGTAATAAAGTTCACATACTTGGATAATTATCTCAGAAATCTGAAAATGCTTTACCTTATATTGTTTGAGTATTGAGAAGTATTTAGCGTCTAATTAAGATGAGTAAATCACACAAGAGTTAGTTCTGATTAGTAGATTGTCCTAAAACACTATGATATACATACTGTTTGCCAAGTTAACTTACCGTCAAGATCTCTTCACAGTTATACTCCATTAAAACCGGTGTTCTCATGATTCAGTTACTAATTTTTATTATCAAGTAATACAAAGAAGAAAGTAGAACTGATCATTTATTAACGAGTGATAACTGGGCCATTGTGATAATGTACATGAAAACAATGATATATTTGATAACAGGTTACTGAAATTCAAGTGAATTGCAATTAACTAAACATAGTTCTATTTATCATCTTGAGCATAGCATGAACAAAAATTTGAGAACAATAACAACAATTCATTTTGGCCTATCTGGTCCTCATCAGCTGCTAACAACCTGTAACATTTGAGAATGATAATTACAAAATCGGTTTAGATTACTTGGATGAAAATGTCTAGTTAAAAGTTACTTTAAAGACTTATTAGTATAGTATAGCAAAGATATGAATAAATTTAACAAACTGAATAAAATATTGTTAATGTATATCTCATATAAAAAACATTCTACAACACTCATAGTAATAAAGAACCTAAGGGATAGAAACAAGTGGTTACGGAAGCAGTAAACACTGAGAACAAGTAAGAATAAAATGAGTCAAGCCCACTTAATTGATATAAATTTACTAATCCAGAAGACGGTTGCAATAAAAAGATACATTGATATAATTAATCACAAGAAAGAGTTGAACGAAATTTTTTGTGTAATAGAGGAATAATTGACATGAAGGCAAGGAGCGACTAACAACCATCTCCTCTTGAACACATTAATCAGGTGTATAACACCTGATATCAGTGACCTCGGAAGACTTCGGAAAACCGGAAACTGGGTGTTTATTAATCACCTTGAAATATTGTAAGCGGTTGGTTGAACTGATGTCCTATATCCAACAGATGTTAGTAATCGCACTTTTTAGATCAGTTCTCTCTCTTGTTCGAAAGCTCTTCGGAACGTAATCGAAAGATCTAAGATATGTCCTCCATTCGGCCCAGCAGTTAGTGCAGCTGTTTTGGCAGGTACATGTAAATTTATAAACACAGTTGAAAGTAACATTACCTTATAACTAACTAGAGAAAAACTATTGAAATCCAGGTAAATACTATTGCAAGTACTTTCTGGTAAATCAAACATTACACCGTTCCATCTTACGTTCGTTGTATTGCAATTTTAGGAAAGTGAGACATGTCATTGTTTTCGTGTTTCACAGTAAATTGTGTGTTGGGACGAGCACTGTTAAAGAGTGCTGACAAGTGGATTGATTGCATGGTGTTTATTATGATTGGCAATAAACGTGTCATCAACACGCTTAGAGTATTTCGTCATTTCGTTAATTGCTTGTTTAAACTCCATGTTTTCAAGGCAATCCATAAAAATATCCACTATAATTTGACCTAATGGACTTTCCATTAACACACTATCAATTTGACGGTATGTAGTGTTATCAAACTGAAATTAAATTACTTTTGTGAACATAAGTGAAGTCTGTTTCAACTGTGACACCGGTGGAATTACTTACTTACTTACGCCTGTTACTCCTCGTGAAGGAGCATAGACCGCTCACCAGCATTCTCCATCCAACCCTGTCCTGGGCAATCCTTTCCAGCTCCTTCCAGTTCCTATTCATCTTTTTCATATCTGCTTCTATTATCTGACGCAATGTGTTCTTTGGCCTTCCTCTTTTCCGCTTCCCTTCAGGATTCCAAGTTAGGGCTTGTCTCGTGATGCAGTTTGATGATTTGTGCAATGTATGTCCTATCCATTTCCATCGTCTTTTCCTAATTTCTTCTTCAGCTGGAAGTTGGTTTGTTCTCTCCCACAAAAGGCTGTTGCCGATGGTATCCGGCCAATGGATGTTGAGTATCTTGCGTAGACAGCTATTTATAGATACTTGTACCTTCTTGATTGGTGGTTGTTGTAGTTCTCCAAGTTCCAGCTCCGTATAGTAGAGCTACCTTGATGTTGGTATTGAAGATTCTGACTTTGCTATTGGTTGAAAGTTGTTTTGAGTTCCATACGTTCTTCAATTGTAAGAATGCGGCCCTTGCTTTGCTAGTCCTAGCCTTTATGTCTGCATTTGATCCTCCTTGTTCATCGATGATGCTTCCCAGGTATGTGAAATATTCTACATCTTCCAGAGTTTCGCCATCAAGAGTGATTGGATTGCTGTTCTCCGAGTTGTATTTGAGGACCTTGGTTTACCCTTTGTGTATGCTGAGGCCTACTGATGCAGAAACTGCTGCGATAGGAGGGCTAGGTCATCTGCGAAGTCCAAATCGTCTAATTGATTCTGAGCTGTCCATTGTATGCCATGTTTTCCTTCAGATGTCGAGGTCCTCATAATCCAGTCGACCACCAGAAGAAAGAGGAAGGAGAAGAGTAGACAGCCTTTTCTGACTCCTGTCCTTACTTGGAATGCATCTGTCAGCTGTCTTCCATGCCCAACCTTGCACTGTAGTCCGTCGTATGAGTTCCGGATAATGTTGACAATCTTCTGAGGAACTCCGTAGTGTCGAAGAAGTTTCCATAATGTCCTCCTATCTACACTGTCAATGCCTTTTCATAATCAATGAAGTTGATGTATAGTGTTGAGTTCCACTCAATTGATTGTTCGACGATGATCCGTAGTGTTGCAATTTGGTCTGTGCACGACCGATCCTTACGGAATCCAGCTTGTTGATCTCGAAGTTGGGCGTCTACTGCATCCTTCATCCGGTTCAGCAACACTCTGTTGAAGACTTTCCCTGGTATTGACAGTAGTGTAATGCCTCTGTAGTTTTCACATTTGCTCAGATCTCCTTTCTTTGGAATCTTGATGAGGTGTCCTTCTTTCCAGTCCATCGGCACTTGTTCCTCCTCCCAAATCTTTTTGAATAGAAGGTGAAGCATGCTTGTAGTTACTTCGATGTCTGATTTCAGTGCTTCAGCTGGTATGTTGTCGGGTCCTGCTGCTTTCCCGTTCTTGATTTGTCTGACGGCCATTCTAATTTCTTCCGTCGTTGGTGGGTTGACATCTATAGGAAGATCTGTGTGTGCTGCTTCGATGTCCGGTGGATTCATTGGAGCCGGCCTATTCAGGAGTTCCTCGAAGTATTCTACCCATCTGTTCCGCTGTTGTTGAATTTCAGTGATTGGCTTGCCTTCTTTGTCTTTGACCGGCCTCTCTGGTTTACTGTATTTCCCTGCTAGTTTCTTCGTTGTATCGTAAAGCTGTTTCATATTTCCTTCTCTAGCAGCTTTTTTCACTTCGTTGCTAGTTCTTCCACGTATTTCTTCTTGTCGGCTCTAATGCCCCTCTTCACTTGCTTGTTTGCTTCTATGTATTCAGCTTGTGCTTGGACTTTCTCTGCTCGTGTTCGGCTGTTGTTAATTGCTGTCTTCTTGTTCTTCCTTTCTTTGATCTTGTCCAGTGTTTCTATAGAGATCCATTCCTTATGATGGTGTTTCTTTAGGCCCAGAACCTCTTGACACGTTGAAGTTAATGCTTCTTTGATGCCTTTCCAGTTGTCCTCCATAGTAGTTTCTTCTTTCAGTAGATCTTGTAAGGCTTGGAACCTGTTGTTGAGAGCTATCTTGAATTCATTGAGTTTGTCAGTATCTCGAAGGAAGGCTATATCGAACCTTTGTAATGCTGTTCCTTAGTTTTCCAGTGTTTCCTTATCTTCAGTTTTAAATTGGCCACAACTAGGTGGTGATCTGAAGCTACGTCAGCTCTTCTCCTGGTTCTCACATCTTCCGATGTAATTCGAAATTTTTTATTGATAAAAATATAATCTACTTGATTCTCTGTGGTGTGGTCCGGTGAGATCCATGTAGCTTTGTGTATGCGTTTTTGTCAGAATATTGTGCCACCAATAACCAATTTGTTGAACGCACATGCATTTGCGAATATCCCCCCATTTTTGTTTCTCTCTCCCAGTCAATCCATGTCGTCCCATGAT